GACAGCTAGGGTTGAGCTGACCAGAACCTGACCAGATAGAGATGTTTATCTTTAACGGACACTGTGAACAAGCGTCAATTGCCACAATTTGTTGAATTGGACTTTTGTTTATGGATGCAGTTGCTCAAAAGACCAGTCAGAATGGAAGTTTCTTCATATCAAGGAAGAATGCTTATCTCCTTGTACTGCATTGATTTGTTATTGTTGTTAAGTGCCATCAAGTCGATTCTGACCCACAGCAACTATGTATAGAGTTTCGGAGGAGCAGTTGTTGAGTTTGATAGTCAATTTAGACATTGGTTATCAAAAACAGGGGTGGCTATCAAGGCAAAAAGTGGCTGACTTACAAGATTTCAGGGGTGTGGTTAGCTTTAGAATGAGGGGCAAAGGCGACTCCCCATTGACTAGTTTTCCTCTTTTCTAGATGGGCCTGGTGAAAGGGGAAGTGGGGAATGATGCTGATAGGATTTTACTTTTTCAATTGTGCGTAACTGTTAGTAGGATTAATTGTGATTGTCAAACCTGAAATTGTAGAAGATGTTCATTTCAGGAACAGAGGTTCCCAGGACCATTATTAAGGAAGAGCATAAGTGGAGTTTGGGATCCCTGCCTGGAAAAGCAGCCACAGGAGAAGCAGTGTCATGGAGAGAGCAGCTTTAGGCTCAGCCCACAGACTGAGTAATGAGTAAGGCTATATGCCTACGGCTGGGAGGCTGACTTGCAAAATGTGCCCTTTGAACTTTTGAATGAATATTTTTGTTGTTGTTTTGTTTTGCATGTGTGTACCAAATACTTTTGCTTTGTTGATTTGTAACATTTGAGACAAAAATGAGGCCAGTGCATTTTCGGCTGGAGTGTTTTAGTTATATTATGCTACAATTTTCTTTATTTAGATTATGCATATAGTTTATAGGGATCAAGTTGACAAGGATGGAATGTAATGGTTAGGGATTTGTGTTAACTTGACTAGGCCAGGACTTTCAGAGGTTTAGCAGTTGTGATGTGCTTAGTCCCATGGTGATGAAATCCAATGCAGGCATAGTTAACTCTGATGAGTGTCTATGAGCAGCCAATCAATTAAAGGAATGCTTCTTTGCGGGTGTAGCCTGCCCCAATATAATGGACACATGAGAGGAACTCATTTTCTCATTTCCTCTGGGGAACTGAAACTCCACAATTGTAAGATTAACAAACTTCTCTTTGTACAGATACAAAAATTTGTTTCACTAGTTTTGCTTCTCCAGAAAACCCAGCCTAAGACAAATGGGTATTCCAGAACCCTTCATTGTGCTCATGAGGAACCTGTACAAAGACCAGGAGGCAATTATTAGAAAAGAACAAGGAAATATGGAATGGCTTAAAATCAAGAAAGGTGTGTGCTTTTCATCACACATATTCTTTTGTATCCTCCCACCATGTATCAGGGACCATGTGGTCCAGGAGTTTTTCAGGGCTCAGATTTGGGCGCTGTGGAAGAGGCAGAGCAGCCTGGGGAGAAAGCTGGCTAGTACAGCCCACTGCTGGAGGAGCATGTGACCTGTGTGCAAAGCATCTTGGATGAATTCCTTTAAACTTACAGCAGCCTCATCCCCCTCAGCACTGATGAGGTAGTAGAAAAATTGGAAGACATTTATTTTCCAGCAGGAGTTTTCCACACCTTCCAGGAAAGGCCTAGTACTGCAGCTGATTCAGTCCTACCAGAGGATGCGAGGCAATGCCACGGTGAGGGGCTTCAGAGCGACCTATAAGTGGCATGAATGACTTGGGGACCTTGTATGGACAGAACTGGCTCAATGACCAGGTGATGAACATGTATGGAGACCTGGTCATGAACACGGTCCCAGAAAAGGTACATTTCTTCAACAGGTTCTTCTACGATAAACTCCGTACCAAGGGTTACGATGGGGTGAAAAGGTGGATCAAAAACATGGACATCTTCAATAAGGCGCTGCTGCTAATCCACATCCACTTGGAGGTGCATTGGTCTCTCATCTCAGTTGACGTGAGGTGGCGCACCATCACCTATTTTGACTCACAGCGTACCCTAAACGGCCGTTGTCCTAAGCATATTGCCAAGTATCTACAGGCAGAGGCAGTAAAGAAAGACCGACTGGATTTCCACCAGGGCTGGAAAGGTTACTTCAAAATGAATGTGGCCAGGCAGAAGAATGACAAGGACGGTGGAGCCTTTGTGTTGCAGTACTGCAAACACCTGGCCCTGTCTCAGCCGTTCAGCTTCACCCAGCAGGACAGGCCCAAACTTCGGC